TGGACGAGTTGACAGGAAAGGAAGAGCAGGAAGAACAGGACAGAAGATTTGATTGAAAAGACGGACCTAACGGAATGAACGCCTTCAAATGAGAGGAAGAGGTGAATGAATAAGATGAAACAATGGGGAGGAAGTAACGAACGAAGCAGAAGTTAAAACGAAAGGAGCGACGTAGGGAACAGAAGGGAAGACAAAACGAAAGGGAAGAGTAACCAACGAAATGCTCTGGATGCTATAGCCTCCGGGCTTGCTCTTTGAGATTTTGAAAATTCTTTTGATGCTACGTTCTTGGCCTTCACCTGAGGCATTTCAGCACGCCCTTGACGCTACGCTCTGGAGACAGTCGCCTCTTGAATGCTATGCTAATTTTCTCTTGGAAGTTCGAACTATCTCTTGGTGCTAGGCTCTTGGCTTACTCTTGGGTTTTCCGACACGATTTTGCTGCTACGCTACGCTCTTAGCTTTCTCCTAGGCCAGTCCGGCAAGCTCTTGATGCTACGCTCTTAGCTGTCTCTTGGAACTTCCAACACGCTCTTGGTGATTTTAACTCTCTTAACTATCTCGAGGGCTGTCCAACACTTTCTCTTTGCCTTGTCCTGGGACGTGCCAGCACGCTCTTGACGCTACGCTCTTGGCTTCTCTTGAAGCATGGCGCGCTATTTTTGCTTCTTTTTTGTGACACATTGAGTGCCAACACGCTCTTGGTGCTACGTTCTTGGCTCCGGCTCACACTCTCTTGATGCTACGCGCTGAACCTTGTCTTGGAAGAGTCCAATATGCTGTTGACGCTAGAACTTCCAGCGCGCTCTTGTTGGTGCTACGCTCCGCCTCTTGACGCTGCGGTCTGGAGAAAGTCACGCTCTTCGTGCTACGCTCTTAGCTTTGTTCTGGAACACGCCAGGACGCTCTAGTTGCTACGCTCTTTTGTTCTTCCTCAAGCATTCCAGCATGCGCTTGATGCTACGCTCTGACCTCCAACACGTTCTGGATGCTAGACTCTTAGGTTTTTCTTGGTCCTTCAACAAGCTCTCTTGGTATTACTCGCCTAGGTTTCTCTTGGAACTTCCAACAGGCTCTTGATGTTACGCACTAAACTCCCGCATGTTCTGAATGCTACACGCTCAATACTTTTTCATTGAGCTTCCTGAGCTTTCTCCTGGAACACTCGGGCGCTCTCTTCGTTTGGGTTTGGTAAGAAGCTAAGAAGGTTCTACTACTTCAACTTAATGATTGATCCTTGCCTCAAGGATTTTCAACTGAGATTGCAAAAACGTACTTCAACTTAATGATATCCTTGCCTCAAGGATTTTCAACTGAGATTGCAAAAAAACGCCACACGATCTTGATAATTACCTCTACACTTTATATTTCTACATAACCCAGCCTTGGTGATCAGACCAAATCCCTGTCTGCCCTCCGGCTCCTCTTCTTGGTGTTGTATAGCGGTTGCTTGGTTTCTTTTTTGTGCTCTGGGGTTGTTTGTTTTGTCTCATTATTCTTCTTTGTCTTTGTTGTTGTTGTTGTTCTTGTTCTTGTTCTTGTTGGTTGTTTATTGTTTGTTGTTTGTTGTTTTTGTTCGTGCTTTGTTGTTTGTTGTTTGTCTTGTTGTTGTTGTTGTTTTTGTTTTCGTTTTTGTTCTTTCCCTTGTTCTTGTTCTTGTTGTTTGTTCTCGTTTTTGTACTTTTTTGTTCTTGTCATTGTTGTGTTGTTGTTCTTGCCGCAGCAGCCGCGTTGCTCACCCAAGTCAACAACAAAAACCACCACCACCACCACCACCACCACCACCAGAACCACAACCACAACCACAACCACAACCAAAATAACAGCAACAACAACAACTACTACTACTGCTGCTACTACTACTACTGCTGCTGCTACTACTACTACTACTACAACTACATCCTACATCCTACAACCTACAACCTAAAACCTACAACCTACAACCTACAACCTACTACCTACAACCTACTACCTACTACCTACTATACCTATTATACCTATTATACCTAGTATACCTAGTATACCTACTATACCTACTATACCTACTATACCTACTATACCTACTATACCTACTATACCTACTATACCTACTATACCGACTATACCTACTATACCTACTATACCTACTATACCTACTATACCTACTATACCTACTATACCTACTATACCTACTATACCTACTATACCTACTATACCTACTATACCTACTATACCTACTATACCTACTAACAGCCAACAACTAACAGCAGACAGTGACAGCAAAAGCAACAGCAACAACACCAGCAAGAGCAACAACAACAACAGCAGCAACAACAAACAAGAAACAACAAACAAGAGGGAAAAAACAATCACAACCACATCCACAGCCAGAACCACAACAACCACAACAACAACGCCAGCAATTGAAATCATGCTTTTGCCTTGGCTAGGCAGGTGGTTAATCGCAAGTTTGGCTCCTGTGACAGGGGTAATGGCTGGTGACATGCTTCCCACAGTGAAGCCGCAAAAGGTGAAAAGGGAGCCAAGTGCTGACAGCACAGTGGGGCTGCCAAAGGTGAAAGCAGAGCCAGGATGCGAAGCCTCAGCAAAAAAGAACCGCTCTGGGAAGCCTGGGAAGTCAAATTGGACTGCGTTTAATGAGAAAAGGAAGCGTGTAAAAGAGAAAGAAGAAGAAGTGACGGTGCCTGCTGTGCGCATCAGGCTATGTGGGAAGCAATCTGTTAATATGCGAAAACGGGTGATTCAGATCTGCAAAAGGATCGATTCAACGCCTGTCCTTGTGTCCCAAGGGACTCAGACGGACTGAAGAGCAGCTGTGAATAGTTTTAGAGGTTTTGGCGGCCAAGATGGGGCATGGCCTTGGAAAAAGACAGCGGCCTTTTCTTGTCATTGATGTTCAGTTTGAAGTTTTGGCCAGGCAGCGTGCGATCAGCTTGTCATTCATTCTTTCATGTTTCCAGTAGTGCTTGGCTCCAAAGAAATCTGGAACATGGAGTCCCAGGACTCTAAGCACTTCCATGATATCAGTGATGATAGGAGCTCTTTTTCTGACGCTGCCTTTTTCGACGCCTTCTCCTGGACCAGCAAACCGCTTTGAGCACAGCTATGGCTGCCCCAGCTGAGTTTTCATCTGATTTTGTACTGGATCAGATGTATGAAATGGTTGGAGCACAGCATCGTGTTGTCCCGAGAATTTTTGGAAGCGTTTTGCTTCCCAGCGTCTCTGGTTCGCACTGAACCTCTATGGAGGTGACTTGCCATGCGATGACTAAGTTCACGGACTTTCTCTACGGAGCTGAATATCATGATTTTTAAATAGTAGACATGGACCGTGTGATGCTGAGAAAGTTGGCGTGGCTGCTTATGTCCGCTTGTGGAATGACGTCACGCAAAATTTGGTTTGGCTTTAAGCAGCTTATGTTTATTTATTGTTTCATTTCTGAAGATTTGGTTCAAGCAAAAGGCTTAGTTCTCAACCACTCGCGCTTCTGATGGGTAAGAGGGGTAACGAGAAAAGAAAAGGAGAGACGGCTCGCAGGATCTGGGAGGCATTGCGCTCGCCGACGCCTGAGTCTGAATCGTCGTTCAGTGAAAATTCCACAGTTTCGGAACGCCTGGCTCGTTTCGATGAGCGAGCCCAGTACCAAAAATGCCCAGACTGCCAGAAAGTAGTTATGGCGCAAGGGTCTATGGACTCATGCTGCCTGAAGGTGAGATTGGCTTTGCTGACGGAAGATGTGTGGCGATTCGCCAACGTCCATGACTGGGTCGATGTGACTTGGGAAAGTTGCCGCACTGAAGCAAAGCGCAGGTGCGGGCTGGGCGATACCCACACCGAACTGGCCACCGAGGAGAAAACGCCTAGAAAGACGAAGAGATCTGCTACCGCACGTGCAAAGAAAAAGGCCAGTAAGACGAAAACATCTGGTGCAAAGAAAGAGGTGGCCGGAAAAACAAGCAAATCTGCCACCGCAGGCGCAAAGAAAAAGGTGTCCAAGAAGAAGAAGAAGGCACACCAGCTGCAAGATCCAGTAGCCAGTGCGAGCATGCCTTTGCATGTGGCAAAATGTCCTCCTTCTCCCCCGGCGTCCTGGGCAACTAGCTGACCTAAAGATGTCTCCGCGTAGGTCCTGCCTGGAAAAAAGTGCGTCCCGGCATGCCGAATATATTTCGCACATTATGCTGCACCATTCATATAATTTCTTGTCATTCTCGCAGCATGGGCTTTAGTTTTTCTTGTCTATTTCTTGACGCGGGAAGTATTATCACTCCTGGAATCAATGGATGCTGAGACTGTATTGGATGAAAGTTTGCCGGAGCCTGGACTGCAAGATGGCTTGCAAAGCGTTTCAAAGGGAAGCGAGGAATTTGCCATCAAATGGGTGGGTGATATTCCGTTTGTCCAAGTTTTCCGCACCGGGAAGGTGCACTGCGGGGTGACTCAAATGACTCTGACCGGTTCCGGGCATTTCAAGCAAGTCCATTGCCAGACTTGCGCCTGCACAACTGTGGGGCTTACTCCTTTAACATTCGCTGCGTGCCAATGTCCTTGCCACTTACTTGCTCGTCATTATGAAATGAGACGTTGCCTTTGTCAGTCTACGGACGCAGCTCAGCCTTAGTTGTCGGCACGTCAGTCTACGGACTAACTCTATTAAATAAGGTCTGTCTACGGACAGTTGTCTTCGAGTCCAGTCTAAGGACTGAAGACTCAGATCCTGCAGTCCACGGACTGCGATTTGGCAAAGTCTACGGACACTGGACAGGTGGAACATTGGACATTTCCAGGCATTGTGGATGAAAAATTGATGCGTTCTTATGAGCATAGGGTATTCGTTGTGGGACGGGTCATTGCATTGGTTTCCGGAAAGGGGTTTGTCGGCTTCCAGGATTCAGAAGTAGATGTTACTTGTCAGTCCATAATCATTTTTACAAAACAACCTCATAGTTATTTTTTGCATTCTTTAATTTGCAGTTTTGTTATTTCTCGGCCCGGCGGCATGGGGAAGGCTTCAGCTGTTGAAGGGCTGGTGCCAAGCAAGTTGCTAAAGCAGCATCTGAAAGCTTGCAAGGCGTCTCTGACAAAATGCGGGCTGTGTGCTTTACACAACGCATGGAAAAAACACAAAAAGCCGTGGCTCAGGGCAAAATTAGTCAATGAGGAAATCAAACTCGGATGCGCAATTTGTGCAACAGATGGCTTGCCAGGACCGTGGGCAGCTTTCGAACAAGAGCCAGCAAACATTTTGAAAAAGAGCAACCTTGAAAGACATGAAAAATCACAATTGCATGTGATGGCATGCAAAGGCGCCGCCAGAAGCAATGCGTCTGCAAAAACAGGACCTCCCAAGGCAGATTTTGAAGATGCCATGAAATCGATGATGCAAGGAGGATCCAGCCGACAGGGTGGTTCGGCAAGTGATAAAAAAAGTCGAATAAGGTACGCTCTGTCGGAAGCAATTTGCGCTCACAACAGAAAGTTGCTTTCAGAGGCGCACTGCTTGGCCCTGATGCGTGATGAGCGCAAAGGCAACCTTCTTCTGCGATTTAAAGCAGTGTTGCCTGATTTGACCATTGTCTCGGGTTCCTTGGGCCTACAGGCACTGGAAGGTTCAGCGGAGAGCATCGCCACGGCGACTGCTCAGATCATGCAACACTTCTGCCAACCTTGGAAGTGTCCACCACGTGGCTCTGCCAAGGCAGAAGGCGTAGTGGATGAAGACTTGTTGCATCGATTGAAGCACCGTGTCTCAATCATTGTCACGGATGCTGCATCGGCAGAACTCTTGGCAAGCGATTTGCACCGCGGGGTCCGTCGTGCAGCCGACCAGACCCAAACATTGGACATTGCTATGCGGAACATCAAAATCGTCGGCCGAGACTGCGCGCATGCTACAACGAGACTGCTAAAGCGACCGTTTTCCAAGAGTCCTACCTTGAACAGTCTCATGCAGGAATGGATCCATGGATCTGATTCCTTCTGTCAGAAAGTTTGGCATTCGCCGCTTCTCAGCAAGTGGTGGGCTAAGGCCATTGGACATGGAGCGGAAGAGTTGGGAATTGACGGTGATTGCACCTCACTGAGTGCGGCCAAGCACCGTTTCGCAACCTTTCTGAATCCATTGTCTCGGCTTTGCAAAAACCTGCAAACGGTTTTTGACGTCTGCGGACGGGTGCAAGCCATGCGAGGTGAAGAGGCGTCATGGGCTGGAAAGCTTTGTCGCAACTTCAGTGGCTTCAAGGCGGCTTTACTGGCTTTGTGTGCTGATGCTGCCTCCATCTGTTCGGATTTCACTCGTTACAGTGATCGGGAAGATATGGACTTAGCAACATTGAACCTGCATGCGCAAGGGTTTTCAGACCGCGGACGTGCATTGTTCGTCGAAGGCCAGGCGTTGACATTGCCAACCTACACCAGGGAATTGATGGAACGATCTGATCCCATCACTATCATCGTAGACGGGTTTGCGAAAGAGGTCAAAGTCACTCGGCAGGATGTTGACCGGGCTATGGAAGTATTGCAGGACAGAACGCAGTGGTGCGATTGCTTTCTCTTATTTAGCTGATGTCATATATATGTGTATAAAGGATGTCTGCTTTTAAAACCTTGCAGGAATGGCTCTGCGTCGCTGAAGATGTATTGAAGCAAGAATTTCCGAGCTGGCATTTGCTTGCATGCTTTGATGTCTTCCATTTGTCCGAGCACGGACAGAAGACAGACGTCAAACGAAGTTTGGAAAAATTGGGCAAAGCTTTCCGTGTATCAGATGCAGGGTTAAAAGAGCAGTATCAAAAGCTGCTTCCGATTGCCTTGTCTATGCACAAGCAAGGCGGGCTACCCAATCGGGACGCATGGAAGGAAGCCTATGCTCGGACACGGCCAAGAAATGCTTCCCAAGGCAAATATTATGCGCCAGACTTGTTTGAAGTACTGGCAGCTTACATGGCATGGACTAGTTCGTCCAGTGGGGTCGAGCAGCAATTTTCCAAAGTGAAGAGAAGCCCCGTTGAGCTGTCAAGCAGTGCTGCAGACATGGATCGGCGCATGGCTATTGTCATGGGCGAAGGTAGCAAGTCCGATGCCTGTCGGGCAGCAATTGTTGAAGCAGCTCAGGACGTCTACTGTGACCTTTTGCGGTCAGGTGTGGCACGAACACGACAATGCAAGAGATTCGATGCAGGCACTCATCGCGCTGGCCGACAAGGGTCTCATGCTCAGTGGAACAGAGATCGCAAGCAGGCCTTGGACCAAGCTGTTTCGCAGTGTAGCACACCACTGCGTAGACCTCGGCAGGAGTTGCCGGAGTCGCTCGAAAAGGAAAGGGACTTCCAGAAAGAAAAGGAACGGAAACGTAAAGCGGAGGCTTTTAATGACGGCTTGCTGTTAGAGGATGAGGCAACTGACGACGTGAAGAGATTGGCTGCCAAGGTGATTCAGGAAAACCGTCAGAAGGATGCGCAGCGGGCGAAAGCCTGTGCAAAATACAAGCAGAAAGCCAAGCTGGCCTGCCGGAAGAAGCCAAGGCAATGGGCTTTGAAAGACTTAGAGGCGCCAGCATGGTTTTCAAAGAAGTTTTCCAATCATGCTCGAGCAGAAGCAGAAGAGCGCTTGCAGAATGTTGGAATCACCGACTTCACGGAGGCAAGTTGGAGGCTATAACACATTTTAAGTTAATTTCGGTTTCCAGGGCCCTTTTTTTTAAATCAGCGTATAGGCATGCTGTGCCGCAGGATATCCGACTGGCGAAGCTATTCGTCATATTGAATTTCCAGAAAGTGGAGAACAAGGTGAAAGTGATGGCAGCTTTGCAAGGAGGCGTCATTCTATCTTCAAGCGTGCTGAATGGCACTGGTGGAATCAAGTTGGGCTTCCATCCTGGTCTTTCCATTGACGCTGCTGTCTTTGCCACTTCCGAATTTAAAAGGGAGCAGCTTGGACTGACCATGATGGTCCGAGAGGCCTGCCGACTTGGGTGGCAGCCTGTTGCTGCTGAAGCTTTGAAAGGCCGTGGTAGAAAGCCAAGCCTTTTGTTAAAAGGCGCCGGGGAAGCCATTCCGGGGTTCAACAGGACGCGTGTCAAATGTTTCACGGCCAGGGACTTTATCCGGTGGCTGGTAGATTCTTGCCTCAATCGACAGGCAAGCGCACGCATCCACAAATCATAGTAGCTCATTCTGAACCTGAGCCTGGCCTTGGGGTACTGCCGGGAAAGCACAGAAAAGTAAGGCCCTCTTATGCCTTCAAACTTGTTTGACAGTTACTGCAGTCATGACACTTGGCATTGATCATTGCATAGTGTTGTGCATATACATATATATATATATATATGTGACACACGGAGAAGTGCAAAATGACACGAGCCTCTCTGAAGCGCAGCATTTTGGAAGATAGGCAATACAGAATAGCAGCCGTTCCTGAGATGGTGAAGAGGGTCACCCGCGGGAACAAAAAGTTGAAGTTGCAAAAAAAATCGCGGCCTCTTTCAGTCAGCAAAGACGAGCTGCGCCAACACATACTTCGCGTCAAAGGACTTGCTGCCTCGTGGGAAAATCGTTTAAGACCTTGGCAGCATGGAGGCGAAAGCGTCATTCGGGTCGCTTCGGACTGCTCTGGTCATGGCTCAGACTTGATTGCATACCGGTTGCTGGGCCTTGTAAAGAAGGTACTGCCAGTCATGATGTCAGAGACAGATGCTGACAAAGTTTGCTTGCACGAAGCAGTGGCCAAAATCTGCGGATTCAATACTTCGAAGTTAACCATGGTGACAGATATGTTCCTGCGGAAACCGGAAGACTGCATATCCACGCACGTCTACGTGGCTGGCTTTCCGTGTCCTTCCTTTTCGAATCTCGGGAAAAGGAGAGGCGTTGTGGATAGACGTGGCCTTTGCACACTGTCTGGCCCCGAATATATTGCCAGAACTCGGCCAAAGGTCATAGTTCTTGAGCAAGTGGCCTCAATATTACACAAGACCCATGCCAAGGTTTGGGGCTTTGTGCTAAAAATTTTGGCCGCGCTGAAATACAAGGTTGTGTTCAAGATACTGAATACCAAAAATTTTGCCGTGCCTCAGAGTAGACCTCGCGTCTACCTGTTAGGCGTCGCTGAGGAAATTTGCTCCGGCAAGTTAGAAATGCCAAGAGAAAGGACAAAGCCTGTGGACTTACACCACTTTTTGAATAAGGGTTGCGGGGGGACAGAGGTTCTCTCTCTTCCCCACTACGAAAAACTTGTGGGGGAGAAACTTTGGAGCCGAGGATTTGTTCTGGATGTAGGCAGCTCGGAGCGCTTTCAGACGGTAATGAAAAATGTCACGCCGTGTTTGACACGCACACGGCTTCAGCAACGAGGGTATTACATACCTAAGCTCCGGCGCCGCTTGCTAGGCGAAGAGGCAGCCCGGCTCCAAGGAGTCCCAAGAAAAGTTTTTGAAGCAATGCTGCAAGCTGCGGCTGCAAACGCATTGCCCGAACGGACAGTGGAAGGGAGCTTGGGTGATGGCATGTCCATTAACGTCCTTGCAGCTGTGTTGCAAAATGGCCTTGCAGCAGCCAAGCTGGTTCGCCAAGGGCCCGAATATTGGCGAATGGTTTCTGATGGCCAATCTGCTGCTTCTTTGAGCGACAAACTGTTTGACGATCAGATTTGAGCCCCGGAGAGAGAGATGAGCCTGGCTGAGACATTTCAGTTCGCAGATGCTTTGAAAAGTTAGTGCAGCACTGATGTCAAACAGATATGGGGCGGGTCATTTGACGTATATATGTTAACACATGATGATATACGTAAGTTAAACCAAGAAACATGCTACAGTAACATATAGCTATATACCTATAAAAAAACATGTTGTGTTATACGTCGCTCCGGCTATACGTCGCGGCCTTACCCGCCCTCAGCCCGTGCTGGGAGTGGGTAAGGACCATGCAAACGTTGCACACGTCACAACGGTGGTGGGTACCCTTAGTGGGAAAGCCCCACTGACCTTGTCCGGGGTCGGCCTAGGCTGGGTCCGAGTAGGAAGAGGGGGCAAAGTGATTCACGTTGCGGCACATTGATTGCCCCGTCCCTCTTAGAGCGAAGTCCCTAGACCTTATCCGGGTCCAGCCTAGGCTGGGTCCGAGTAGGCATAGTGGGTAACCCCCACTATGTGTACTCGGCCACGTTATGACTCACGTTGACGTTTGACTTTTTGCGTTGATTTGGACCTGTGTTGTTTAGCGGTTGCCGCGGTTGCTATGGACGTGGCTCATCCGGCAGACTTTTCATTGCTCAAGCTCGGACTTCGACTTACTTCTTAGTTAGTGCGTCCTTGACTCATGACCCAGGAAGTGAGCAACATTTCCGCTTGGCGCCTGAATAAGGCAGAACAGAAGGAATTGGCCGAGAGGGTGGCGAAGGGAGAGTGTGAGAAAACAGCCAAAAAGGACATTCAGAGACGAAAGGCGATTGCAAATGAGAATCGCAAGAAAGCGGCGCAGGCTGTTGCAAGCAAGGCAGCAGTGCCAAAAGCTTCGGCAAAGAAAAGATCGCCGGCGATGATTGCGGCTGATGCCGCTGAACAGCAGGAAACGGCGACGCAGAAGGACCCCACGAATGCTGCTTACTACGCAGAGGTAGAAGCAGACATTCAAGCGATCAGGAAAGAATTCTCCGGAATTGAAAATGAGTTGCCCCTGCCCGTGTCGGCTGCCAACGGGCCTGGCGCAGAATCTGGAGTTCAGGAGCCTTATCAGTTGGAGAATTGCCAGGCTGCCTTGGAGAAGCACGGCGTCTACCGTTGCAGCATTCCGCTGTTTTGGCTCAATTTGGTTTCCTCAGCCACTCCTGGCATACCTATGTCCAGACGACGTGTGTTGGATTTGTGCGCCTACTACTATCCCCAAGATTCGCCGGCATTCATGACAGGAAGATGCGTGGAAGTCTTGGTGGACAAGTCAAGTCTGACTGCCACCCCGTCTCTTTTGCAACAAGTGTCTTCCGAAGAGCTGATTCATTCTTTGCTTGCTTCTTGTGCCAAGTCGATCCTGCTACTTGGCCTGAACTAACACCGCAGTAAGTGCATATTTTTGGGACACATGCTTCTGATATAGCGGGCTAGTTTTTAACTATCTGGCTATTACCCTTTCAATGTCATACTTGTCTTCAGGTCAAAAGACACTATGAGTGAAGATCAGTGGCTTGCAGTTCGGGCAAAGTGGCGAGCTGTCCTTCTCAGCACACCTTGTTCTTTCATTGGGACTGACGGGCGTGCAGAGACTGTTTGGATCCACGGATTCAACCGGCGCCAATCCATCCGGCAAGACCACGAATCTCTTTCACGCACAGCCATGCAAACAAGCCTCGAGATTGATCAATTCAAGACAATTGTCGAGAGTGCTCCTGGCTGCAAAGGCAAACTGCAACCGGCGCAGTTAGCAGAAGCCTTCGTGGAACTGGGTCTCCAGTCCGTGACAGGCGCAAATGGACGAAATGGGGACGAAGATGGCAGGCTGACTGCCAACATGATCACCCAGGCGTTGATGGTCAAGAAAGGCATCCTTTCCTCGCCTAAGTGCGTCGAAATTTTGATGGAATTGGAATCGTCCTTTGGATCCAAGTCGCCTTTTCATCAAATGTCCCGCCTACACGTGCTGAGTACCAAGCCCAGCTCACCAGAGATGCGGGAATGGGTCCTGCAAGGCATCGTTGACATGCTGAACTACGATTTGATTGAAGCAGGAGACATTTCGAAAGCCTGCTTAGCTGGTGACAAACACCACGTTGGCTTGGTGCAAATTCTCGAGATGAAGAAGAAGGTCCGGCAGTTGTTAGACAAGGATTCCCACTGCGTGTAATAGATTTAATTGCTCTTTGGATATATCTAATAAGGCATATAAGAATTATTAGTCTTATGGGGAATATCTATACCTAAATGAAAACATTTATAGCTGGTGATGCACCCCCTTGTGTTGCTTGCCAACCCACGCAATAAAATCGAATAGTATTGCCTTTTTGTTTTGGTAAGCCGCCAGGTCTGGTCACACTTCTTCGACGCCGTCTTGCCCAAGCTTGGCTTGTCTGAGGCTGACCGCACCTTGCTCAAGGAAAAGACTGCCCAGCACGACGTCTACAGAAATCATTCCGGAGATGGCGACTGCAGCTGGAGGGGTCGGCTCAGCAAAAGCGCTTTGCTTGCCTTGGATTTTTTGGAAGTCTGTGTTTTCAAAGTTGATATGTGTAATTGTTTATATATGCATAATTATGTTCATTGCCGGCCCTGAATAGGCTGTGACGTATGATCGCAAGTTGGACCATTTCCTCAAAGCTTGTGTGAAAGCTGGCGGCCAAGTCGAAGCATTCTTGGAATACGAGGCTGTTAAGGAAGAGGTGCAGAAAGTCCGGCATGCCGTAAAGAATGAATCTGCCGAAAAAGCCGCTGAGGGAGACGACAATACGTTTAATGAGGAAGGCGGGGAGGAGAAGGACCCAGAAACCCAGCAGCTTGCTTTGCTGCGCCGCCCACCGGCACAACAACCTGAGGGCTCCGAGAGTTATTGGAGAAGCGTAGCCAATGTACATGTGCGCACATACGTTACTTTGCTGACTGAACCGGCCACCTTAGATGGCGTAGTAACTTCGGTTGCTGGAGGGCCTCTGCGTGAGGAAAAAGGAGAGTCCAGCAAGTCGACCATTGCCATCGTGTTGGATTGCGATTTGCTTGGGGAAAGCCAAGGACCATCGAGCCAACCATTTCTGCGGAAAAAGTTCGTGCCTGATCAGAACCTTGTGCGCAAGCTGCTCCACGGAGCATTGATTGGTCGTGGCTCGCAAAAAAAAGAATCTGGCGAAGCAACCGTCCCTGCAAGTCAAGATTTAGTGATTTTGCAGTGCGGTGCCGACAAGTCTGTCAAAGAAGCCGAGTCGCACTTCAAGGTCAGCTCGTCTCGGAAAGACGCACCCATTGACTGCGAGCATAAGGAAGTGCTGGTGGTCTTGTCCGACGGGTCCGTCCGCGGACGCAAACAGCGTGTGAAAGGGACATATTCTTTACGAACTTCTTTGCACTTATTTTCCTCGGAACCTTTGGCGACCATGGTCCCGGAAAGGCAATTCCCAGACTTCAGTGGACACAACACTAGCGACCTCCTTGCCACCGTTTCTGTACTGCAGCCGGAGGACATGTGGCACTTAAGCAGGCCTGGTTGTTTGACAAAAAAATGACTTGTTTCAAAGTTTTGTAGATAAAGTACCCACTGACGCGTCTTCTATAGGAAAGACAAAGAAGAAGTGCTTGCTGGGCGAACCGTGACGGTCACTGATGCCGCGGTCGAGAAGCAAGCTGCGAAGAAGCAAGCGTCCGGAGTCGCGCCTGCCGAATCGGTGTTTTCTGCAGAAACTTTCCCTCAGAAATTTTGGTCCAGCTTCCTGAAGGGCCACTGCTGCAAAGGTGTGCTATTGAGCCAACATTATGTATTTTACGGACTTTCCAATTTTTAAATGGGAAGGACAATGTCCGGGGAAAGAAGATATATTTTTCAAACTTTCGAATCGTTTATGTCCTGAGGCTTGCTCTCTCCATGGGTCAAGGTGAGCTTGCCAAAGCTTGCATTTCTGAAAGGATTCCTTGTCAGGCTTTCACGGTGACCGATGCCCATGCTAAACATTTGGAGCTGCTGCTGACGGAATTTGTCTTGGGTCTGATGAAGACAGAGGGATCGTCGTTCTACCGGGCGGCTGCGGCTGGTTCCGGGGGTGGCGCAGAAGAACAGGCAAAGCGAAAGAAAGAGGGAGATGATCAAGAAAAGAAACCCAAGAAGCCAAAGACGGCGCCGAAGAAAAAGCAAAAAAAAGCTGTGGAAGCAGAGACGCAGAACGAGAACCAAGACGAGCAGAATGAGGACGAAGACGAGCAAGATTCTGATATGCCTTGGTAAGTTTAAGATGCGAGGTCTGAATGAGACTGCCGCGGCCTGTTTTAATTTTCTGCAGCGCTCTGGAGCGCGACCAACAAGGACCATAATAAACCTTGCAGAATAATCTATACCGAAACTCTGTTGACGTTACTATAATTATTATAAGTTTCCAAATGAATTCAGTTTTGTTCACTCAACTTACGTGACTTCTCTTGTCCTCGTTGGTGGGCATTCTGAGCAAACGCACGACAGGCTGGAGCAGATTCCATGATTTTGAACAACACCATCCATGGACAAAATGCATAACTGCCTTCTGCCGCTGTTTCTCTCAGAAAACATATATGATGCACTGTGTTTTTAAGCTTATTACTTTATACAGCATTCTGTCAGCTTTCGGCTCGAAGAGTGACGTCGAAGCTGGAGGCACTTCGAAGTTCCAGGCACGTGGGTGGGCCGTGGGTGCTTTGTCATGTTTTTTTTTGGTCACGGATTTTGACAGTCTAGAGATGGTCCACCATCCCCGGATGGCTCGAGTCCACAGACTCAATAGTATATTGATATTGTCCATCATCGGAGGCGCGAGTCCACGGACTCGTGGGAAAAAAGGGATGACAATCTAAGGACTGATGCCGAGATGGACCATCGTCGGATGGTGCGAGTCCATGGACTCGAGAGAAGGGAAAGGGGTGACAGTCTAAGGACTGATGCTGAGATGGACCATCGTCGTATGGCGCGAGTCTACGGACTCGAGAGGGGAAAGGGGTGACAGTCTAAGGACTGATGCTGAGATGGACCATCGTCGGATGGCGCGAGTCTACGGACTCGAGAGGGGAAAGGGGTGACAGTCTAAGGACTGATGCTGAGATGGACCATCGTCGGATGGCGCGAGTCCACGGACTCGAGAGAAGATGACAGTCTAAGGACTGATTCAGAGATGGTCCAGCATCGGATGTCGCGGGTCCACGGAGTCCACGGACTCGAAAAGGGAGGAGACTGAGATGGTCCATCGTAGGATGGCTTGAGTCCACGGACTCAAGAGAAGAAAAGGGATGAGAGTCTAAGGACTCACAGATGGCGCTAGCCCACGAACTCCACTATTAATAGTCTACGATGGATGTAGACACGTATATGGTCTCCGGACTGAGATGTTTTCGATTGTAGTGTTGCATACTTCCACGCCCTCATCAATTCATCAATCATGTGTCATTGAATGTCAATTTGACATCTGTGATGTTTGTGCATGTCGTTGAATTTGTTGCCCCTGTCAGGTCTGCAAGCGATGGCAGGCGAGAAAAAGCGGAAGGCAGAGCTAAAGGTGCCGGCTTCAGGGGCAGAGGACTCGTACGACGACGACGACGAAGACGAGGAATCTGAAGAAGAGGTTGTTGAAGTCTGTGACCAAACGGTGGAAGAAAGGCCTGCACGGCCTGTGGAGGGCGCACGCGCCAAGTTCGGGTCAATTGTCGGCCCGAGGGGTGAGACAGGCACTGCTCCGGACAGGCGTTCCCGTCCACCTCCTGAGCCCAAGAACCCGCCAAAGGCGCCGCAAGAGCCACCAATGTCCACGGACCCGAAGCATGGAACAAGCTACTGCCACATTTGCCTCAAGGAGGTAGGCGGCGGGGAGTCCGGGCGCTGGCAACATGTCAGATCCCCTGCCCACCTCTCGTATTACCTCTGGAGCCAAAATGAAGAGAAGCGGTTTGGCAAGTCGTGGTATCAATGCAAGAGCGAAGCCAAAGCCTGGGCTGACAAACTCTGGCAGAACTCAGGCCAACGTGCCCCGTCCTTAGGAAGAGAAGACGGAAAAAAAGAAAAGAAACAGAGGTATGAGGCGCCTCCTCCAGTGCCAAGGGCTGACGTCGAGAAGAGGGATAAGAAAGATCCACCAGGCGGAGGAAGCGGCGATGCTGGTCCAAGTGGTGGCAGCAAAGGCCGCAATGATGCCCTGATCTTAGGATTATGGCAAGCAACGCTGCGACAGTTGGATAACTGAAGCTGAAGGCTGCGAACGCCGGGTCCTTGGACATATAAGGCTCTGTCTACGGACAGTATAAAAATGTCTACGACATTAATTCATGGATGTCTACGGACTGCTGACTAAGTCTACGGACGTGTCCTTGGACTAAAATGTCTACGGGCTCTGGCCCCCGAAGTGGATTAGACTTGGCGGCGGTGGAGTAAAAAAGTTCCGTGAGATGCTCAACGCCGCTCTTGAACCCTAAAGTCGCGCTCCCACGTGCTAGTCGCTAAACCCTAAACGCGCGCTCGCTACCAACCCTAAACCCTTAACTTTTAAGTAACTCTAAACTTGAAACCCTAAACCGTAAATACTTTAAACCCTAAACGCGCGCTCGCGCGCGCTCGCTCAACCCTAAACCCTAAACTTTAAACCTTTAACCCCTAACCTTCAACCGCAACCCTAAACCCGAAACCCTAAACCTTAAACCCTAAACGCGCGCTCGCGCGCGCTCTCGCTAAACCCTAAACGCGCGCTCGCTAAACCCTAAACCCTAAACTTTAAGTAACTCTAAACTTGAAACCCTAAACCCTAAATACTTTAAACCCTAAACGCGCGCTCGCGCGCGCTCTCTACCACCCCTAAACCCTAAACTTTAAGTAACTCTAAACTTGAAACCCTAAACCCTAAATACTTTAAACCCTAAACGCGCGCTCGCGCGCGCTCTCTACCAAGCCTAAACCCTAAACTTTAAGTAACTCTAAACTTCAAACCCTAAACCCTAAATACTCTAAACCCTAAACGCGCGCTCGCGCGCGCTCGCTAAACCCTAAACCCCTAAACTTTGAGGGCTTGCGCCATTGTGCGACGCGAAGCGGGATTTTAATCCCACACAGTCGCTTCCAAAAGCTGCAAATTCATCTTGGGGCTGCAAAAGTTCGTCCGAGGCCTTCTGGGACGCTTCTGTGAAGCTCCTGGGGCTCTTCTGGGAGGCTCCTGGATCCCTTCTTGGAAGGTTATGGGGGCTTCCTGGCTTCTGGCCGGGAACCTTCTGAGAAGCTTCTGGAAAGCTTTGCAGGCACTTTCTGAGAGGCTTGAAAGATTTTGGCAGGCTTCCGGAAGCTTCCAATAATTTGAAGCTTACAGTCTCAAGTTCAAATTTTGAAGATTAAAAGTCAAAGTTTAGAAGTTAAAATTTAAAAGTTAAAATTTAAAGTTGTTAGGGGCTTCTGGGAACTGTTCGGGAAGCTTCGAGGAGGCTCCTGGAAGCCTTCTGGGACGTTTCTGGGAAGCTCCTGGGGCTCTTCTGGGAGGCTCCCGGGGCCCTTCCTGGAGGATTCTGGGGGCTTCCTGGCTTCTGGTAAGCTCCTGGGAAGCTTCCGGGAGCCTTTCTGGGAAGCTTCTGGGAAGCTTTGCGGGCACTTTCTGAGAGGCTTGAAAGCTTTTGGGAGGCTTCCGGCAGCTTCCGAAAATTTAAAGTTTACAGTCTCAAGTTCAAATTTTGAAGTTTAAAATTCAAAATTTAAAAGTTAAAATTTAAAGTTGTTAGGGGCTTCTGGGAACTGTTCGGGAAGCTTCGAGGAGGCTCCTGGAAGCTTTCTGGGACGTTTCTGGGAAGCTCCTGGGGCTTTTCTGGGGGGCTCCCGGGGCCCTTCCTGGAGGATTCTGGGGGCTTCCTGGCTTCTGGTAAGCTCTTGGGAAGCTTCCGGGAGCCTTTCTGGGAAGCTTCGGGGGAGCTTTGCGGGCACTTTCTGAAAGGCTTGAGAGCTTTTGGGAGGCTTCCGGCAGCTTCCGAAAATTTAAAGTTTACAGTCTCAAGTTCAAATTTTGAAGTTTAAAATTCAAAATTTAAAATTTAAAGTTGTTAGGGGCTTCAGGGAACTGTTCGGGAAGCTTCGAGGAGGCTCCTGGAAGCTTTCTGGGACGTTTCTGTGAAGCTCCTGGGGCTTTTCTGGGAAGCTCCCGGGGCCCTTCCTGGAGGATTCTGGGGGCTTCCTGGCTTCTGGTAAGCTCCTGGGAAGCTTCCGGGAGCCTTTCTGGGAAGCTTCTGGGAAGCTTTGCGGGCACTTTCTGAGAGGCTTGAAAGCTTTTGGGAGGCTTCCGGCAGCTTCCGAAAATTTAAAGTTTACAGTCTCAAGTTCAAATTTTGAAGTTTAAAATTCAAAATTTAAAATTTAAAGTTGTTAGGGGCTTCTGGGAACAGTTCGGGAAGCTTCGAGGAGGCTCCTGGAAGCTTTCTGGGACGTTTCTGGGAAGCTCCTGGGGCTTTTCTGGGAAGCTCCCGGGGCCCTTCCTGGAGGATTCTGGGGGCTTCCTGGCTTCTGGTAAGCTTCTAGTAAGCTTCTGGGAGCCTCCCCCCAATACTAAATATGTATTCAAATTTCAAGACCCTAATCCCCCAATACTAAATATGTATTCAAAAACTTCAAATTTAAACATTGAGGTCGGGGGCGACATCCCCCTATATAAGTAGAGGATATGCTGGCTGGAAGTTGCGGAGAAGATGAGGAGAGGCAAGAGAACATTTTTGAGATTTGGAGAAAGAGTTCTTCGGCTTGAAGCTGCAGAATTTGCCAGGGCGCCGCTTCGCGTCGGACTTTCAACCTTAAACCCTAAACCCTAAACCTTAAACCCTAACCCTAAACCCGAAACCCGAAACTTTAATTTATTAAACCCTAAACCCTAAACTTTAACTCTAAACTTGAAACCCTAAACATTAAATGACTTTACTAAATAACTTCAAGCTTTAAACATATAACCTTAATCTCTAAACCCTAAACGCGCGCTCGCGCGCGCTCGCCAAACCCCAAACGCGCGTCGCAACGACAAAACTTTTTTAACGTTAGCCGGAAAAAACTTGAATCTGATGATGCTGCTTCGTCAATTGCATTGACAGGATTGAGTCTCAAATTTAAAAGCACCACCTGCACGTGAAGCCATGGAAAAGCGCACCTGTGTTTTGCTGAAAGTCAATGGCGAAGAGTACCGAGTAAAAAAGGAATGGTGGAGAGACTCAGTGCAAGGAACCTGGTTTTGCAGGCCACTGCTGATTGGCCGTTGG